CCGTTAGCTGGCGGGCCTTTAGCCACTTCAGCTGCTCTTTTTTAAACCATCATAACTTCAGGCTTACATTCTTCGGACAGACACAAATAGCCAAATATTAAAGGTGTGACATAATACACTGGTCTGATGGTTGTCAAGATAAGATTTTTTCTGAAAAAACAAGGCAGAAAAATTATACAAATTTGTCTCGCGGGACAGAAAGTTGAAAATAAGCCTCTTTTTGTAAAGCTGTACTTTTGGACAATAACGCCCACACATATCTATTATCATAAAGAATAGACAAGGGGAGCCTACATTAACACAGACAGATGGATTTTAGGTGAAACTGGGTTGCAATGCGATTTCTTGAATAGCCACTGGCATGATTTCATAAACATATGTAAACTTAAAGTAACTCTAGCACTAGCTACAAGCCAGTTTCCAGTGAGTTAGTCTTAATGTTCAGATAATCATTGTGCAAACAAGCCCAAACAGATTTGGGTTCACAGCATTTTTTGTTATTTTTGGCCCAGACTGCCCCCTTAAAATGTCTGCATCATCAAGCGGCTAATCTCTTCTGTGTATTGCGTGCAGTGTGGTTTCTACTACTGGGCATGTGAAGGGAGAAACATTTTGTGTATTTTTTTTTGACCTTACACTGTTCTTATCTCCAGTTTGGTGCTGGCGGAGCAGGCAAAAAGCACCATTCGTGAAACAGGATGAAGTAGTTATTTTTGCAGGGTTCATACACTTTTTCACCAATGATTTTCAAATGACTGTTCCATGACTTCTCCATGACCTTACCTAATTTTCATGGACCAAAACAAATTACTCTTTCTCAGCGGTACCACTGAAAAGGTTTATTGTACATGGCGGGAAAGCGAAAATAAACGGTCTGCATATGAAACAATGTTGTGGCCTATCAAAACAAATCAAATAGGTATCGCTTACTAGCTTCTACACGCTAAAGCAACTAAAATCTCTCACCAGCAAATACTGTCGACAGATTAATGCCCATTTATGTTTCATTCATTATACGATCAGTATTTATGTGAGTCATTTTATAGTATTACTATTCGACGATTGGTAAATATAAATCTCTATATTTGATGCCTCTTTTGAGATTTACGTTAGCGTTTTTAAGCGCTTGAGAAGCTAGTATAAGCCTACTATTTGATTTGTTTTGATAGAGCAACAACATGTTTTCATATGCAGGACCTTATTTTCCTTTCCATGTTACAAATAAACCATTTCAGGTACCGCTGAGAAAGAGTAATTGTTTTGTCATGGAAAATTAGGTAAAGGTCATGGAGAAGTCATGGAAAAGTCATTGAAAATCATTGGTGAAAAAGTGTATGAACCCTGTAATACTTACTTCATCTGTTTCACAATGGTGCTTTTTCCTGACTCGCCAGCACCTGGAAGATAAGAACAGTGTAAGCAAAAAAATACACAAAAATGTTTCTCTTCACATGCCACTGAGTAGAAACACACTGCACGCAATACACAGAAGAAGAATTAGCCTTGATGATGCAGTACATTTTAAGGGGCAGTCTGGGCAAAAATAACAAAATGCTGTGACCCAAATCTGTTTGGCTTGTTTCACAATGATTCTCTGAACATTAAGACTACTCACTGAAACTGGCTTTGTACTAGTGCTAGAGTTACCTTTAAGTTACATATGTTTATGGAAATCATGCCAGTGCTATTCAAGAAAATCCATTGTCAACAGTTTCACTAATCATTGTCTTTGTGTTAATGTACTCTTGTCTATCTTTATGTAAATAGATATGTGTGAGCGTTATTGTCAAAAGTACAGCTTTACAAAAAGAGCTTATTTTTCACTTTTGTCCGAGACAAATTTGTATGTTTTCTCTTGTTTTTTCAGAAAAAATTATCTTGACAACATCAGACAGTGTTATATGTCACACCTTTTAATATTTGCTATTTGTGTCTGTCGAAGAATGGTAAGCCTGAAGTTATGATGGTTTAAAAGAGACACTGAAGTGGCTAAAGGCGCAGCTAACGGGCAGCATAATCTCCTCACAGCAACAAAGCTCTTGGCTTTCTGGTTTCGCTGAGCTGCATAATGTAGTCTAATTATGTCCTATGGAAGTAATTGATGTCAGATTATCAGGAGGTTTTTGTACATCGAGGCCATCATGCAGCGATAAATGCCACTGAGTGTGTAAGCAGACACCTCTAAACTTTAAGAAATGCAACTCTATATGGAGGCAATCCAGACAGGAGGAGAATTATGTTTGCTTTTCTGGGAACAGCTTCTCTGGATCAAATTAATATTGTGAATACTTTGTATCATGGATCAATGCACTAGTGGACTGTGAAGTAATGTGCAATTCAAGCCACAGTTGCTTTGTTTTGTTAAAAAAAAACATGCAGGTAGAACAAGCTCTCTGCAGCATCGTAAGTTCAGTCAAGAGGAGTTTATCACAGAGCAAAGCCGGCTGTCCTGCTCTCACTGGAGCCACGCTAAGCTCCATCCTCAGATTTACTGCCTGAGCATATAAAAACACCCGTGTGACCTCGCCCGCTCAGGGAAGAACTTGTAGGTTTCCCCTTGCTTGTGATGGGCTGGTAAAGATGGCACTGATACGTTATCAAGACTGATTTGCATGAGCTGTGATGATTTAATGAAGAGTGTCTTTATCTTTATGTGTGAGTCATTCTTTCACCTTGTGCTTATTAACAAATGTTCCCTCGGCTTTACTTTGACACTAAATCTGACTTTAAAAGGGAGCTCTCTGTCCATGTTTATTCTGCAGAAATACTATAGATGTTTTTACTTTAATCATCAAAAAGACATTTGGTTTTCAGCGATCTACAAACTGTAGGGAAAATATTTGATAATGCAGTCAGGGAACAATAAAGGACTGCATGTGTCTTCTTTGGAAAAAAAATTCAGATTTCATAGAAACTTAGGTTTTGTTGAAATTACGACTACTCTTTCTCACTCCTCTCACAGCCCACAAGATGGCACTCTTCTTATCCTACCCACCTACCTATTTATATATACAGTCTATGATCCTACCGCTTCACTTCTTACAGTCTGACCTCTGTTGCTGACTCCTCTGTGGATCTAGTGCAGGTAGTTTTAACAGTGTTTACAACCCAGTAGACTTTCAAAAAATAATGCAATGTTGTGAGACATGAACTCTGCATTAAATACTTGATTTTTAACGTACATTGGCAGCAGCACAGAGTTCCATGCTCTTCAAATATCATTTTATACTATACTATTTTTTTTCATCTGACTTCATTTTAGAGCAACCTTCTTGCTTCCATTTTTGTATTTGTTACATAAAATCAGCAATAATCTGTATTTTAATGTAGTCCTATATTCTTCCCATGCCCATGCAAATATTGCTGTTATAATATAACAATAAAGTAATAAGACACATTTTGTTATTTCTCTGCGAGTTGAGGGATCAACAAACACGTCTCCAGGTGGATCTGCACTAAACCAGTTAGCTAAACGGATTGACATATCACTGCTGGGCTGTGATTCATTTAGACTAAAGGCTATGATGTTTTAAACACCATGTCCTTCCAAGTCAGTATTTACTGTAAGACACTGCCAAGAAAACCTGCTTGCAATTTGCAGCAACTCTTTCAAATTCATTGGTTTTGTTGAATATTTAAAATTATGATTTCATTGCTTATGCATTTAATTCATTTTAGGTTCAGCAAAAAAAACACAATTTAAGACAGCCAAACTAGCTTCAACCTCTGCTGTGATTATATTATAGGAATATACATATAATAAAAGTGTATTACTAGTGCTTGATTTTCAATATTCTTTCAAATCTGCTTTCAAATCTGATTTTCTTATTCTACAAATTATTTTTTCTTCATCTCACATCCCTTTGTTAACTTCTCAATCCGCAAACTTATCTCTCTTATCCCTCTTTGCTGTTCCCGCTAATGCCCTCTTAGTTTTGCACAAGCTTAAACGGTCTTCCCCCTTTCTAATAAACTAATGCAAGGTTTGATCCAGAAACAAGCCTGTAAATCCTCTGAGCATATCTTACATCTAACTAAGCAGTGTGTAACAGCTGTGTCAGATGGCTCGCGTCCAATATTTGAAGAATACGCAGAAAATTAGCAAATGAACTCAGATTGAAGCATTCAATGTTACGTATGAATACAATATTATGGATTAAATGATCTGCTCGTGAATTAACTCTCATCCTGAAACTTGAAAACCAACTCTCAGGGGTTAATGAAAGCTGACCAAAACATGTTCTCAGTCATGCATTTTCATTGAATTGATCACCTGTTTTGATTAATTGCTGACTTCTGGAGCCCTGTTCTACTCTGAAGACTTCAACTTCCACAGAAACCTTTGTTAAAGTTTAAAAATTTAAATTCAAGTTGGTTGATTCCTGAATCTTGTAAAGTGAAAAGGCGTCATTTCTGTCGCTTGGCATCGCCTGCTGTTTGGGACAACAAAGACAACTTGATACATCAAGACCATTCATAACTCCACTTACCAAGCAGTAATAGCTTGACCGTTTTAGCGTCCTGATCAGCATCTTGTTGGAGTTGCTTTTCCAAATCCTTGGACTTTTGGTCCTCGGCGCTTGCTCCCGCACCCATGCTTTCTTCCTCCAGAAACTCAAGATCCTCAAGGATAGAAATTTTGACGGTTACTCTGGAGCTGTCGAGCAGAGAATCAGGTTGCAACACTAATCGTGCTGAAAGGCGATTTTCAAGCGGAAGGATCTTGGGAGGGAGGTGCTTGAGTCCTTCCTAGCTTCGTTGGCCTCTTTTTGTGAGTAGATCAGTACCTTGTCAAGGTTCAAGTAAATTCAGAAGCTCTTGCCAACCGAAATCCACCCTTTAATTCCTTTGGCTTAAACCTCTTACTTAGGAGTTGCCTCTTCCTGATTGGTTAGCCAATCCAATTAGTGTAATAAGGGCAGTAGTGAATGATGTAAATAAAAGAAGAGAATACTTACATATATTCCTGGGCTCAGTGACAGTCATGGATCTCATTGAATTGTTTGTACACCAAATGCTTGTAAATTATTTGACACTTGATATATAAATACAAAGGAAGTACACTAAATTATTCTGTTTTTTATAGTACATCAATTGTTTTTCCAGTCATCCTAGATCATAAAGCGTCATCTGCCTGACGATATATGTTCTGTGTATATATATATTTTGTATGGTTAAGACATTGTCTATTTGGTTTGCAGTCAGCGTGCATACTTTACTCTTTTGATCCATACTGTACCTCCTGCTGGACTCTTGACTTCAGTGTCAGTCACATGGACGAAGCAATGAGGTATTAACCTTTCATAAACTTCTTATCGTTAAGACGTTTAAATCCCAGCTGGTGTGGTGATGGCTAAATAAAGCAACTGCCATTGTCACTGAGGTGTTTCAGTGAGGTCTCAGCGACATCATGAGCTTAATATGTTTCCCGATCCAACATTATTTAAACTATCTCATACATTTTCATGTTTTCTTCGAGGCAGAGCAGATTTCTTTAAGACAGGAGGTTGGGATATTACGTGCATTAAGCACATTAAGTGTATGAGCCCTGTGGCATTGATCTGTGGAGGTCAGTGGGGCTGGCGTTCAGGGCTGTCCCCGCTCTGCGTGTTTGAGGAATTACACTGAGACAACGTATCTAAGGTTGTTAATTAGGTAAGAAAACAGAAACTATTGTATAGTTTTCCTGACAAAGTGCATCAGAAACAAAGTGATAAGAGTGTTGCTTAGTTTGGATTGAAAACGTTGGTGTCTCCAGCTTTTTAATTAAGCTCTGTACGTTTTATTTTACCATATAAACTGTGGACGTTGAATTTGGAGGTTTGATCATACCATAAACTCATCTTTTGGTTAATGAATGTTTAAAACTTCCGAAATGGAGAAAGTAGAGGTGATTATTATTGATGTACTGACGCTTTTATGTTGTAAATGTATTATCTTTTAAATGGATACACATGACAACGCACTCTGTCCATACTGGGAGAGGGATCCCTCCTCTGTTGCTCTCCTCGATGTTCCATTTTTTCCTTGTGTGATGTGAGGGTCCAAGCACAGAGGGTGTCGTCTTCTGTACAAACTGTGAAGCCCCTGAGACAAATGTGTGATATTGGGCTATATTAATAGCCTTTTTTATTATTATATGTCTTTGTTGAACAAGGACCATGCATACAAATAGACTAATCTCATAAAGAGACCAGACGAGATGCTATTTGCCAGGTTATAGCTAAAAGCTAATTTTCATCTGCATATAAATACATTTGAATTGATTGTGTGATATGAAGGATATCTTAAACATGATGTGCAGAACATTAAATGGGTTTATTGGTCACTGAAATGATCTCTTCCTTAATCACTTCCAATGTAAGGGAAAACCTTAGTCAAGTTAACGTGTAAAATCAGCTAATTAAAGGTGTGGAAAGCAACACATTTATTCAACAATGTGAATGAACGAAATATGAATATTTAGAATGGCAGAACTTAACAAATCATTTTCACAACTTTTCTTTAGGGGACCATTATGCAAAATGCACTTTTTGATGTATTTTACATAAATATGTGTGTCAGGGAACTAACAAAATGTCAGAAAACAAAACCCTCTCTCTTTTCCTCCGTACCCGCATCTCTAAAAAATGTAAAAAAAGGAAGTGCCTCAAACTGCAGTTCATCTAGTGGCCGGTAGAAGCAGGCTGAAGAAAGGAGCAATTTCCATAGACCCCCATCTTAAAATGCCTAACTTTACAGCAGAAATAAACATGTTTTTACCCCTGGATGCAATAAAACTTATTCTGGATATAGTTAGATTCCACCTTCATGACTATGGATTAGTGAGTGAATTGTTTTATAACGCAACCCTTTTAGTTATATCAGGTGTTAGCAGGTGTTTGTGTGCTTGTTAGCTTAGCTTGTTATATAGCTTATTAGCCAGCCAAGGACGTAACCCTTTATACATACTAGGGGTGCACCGAATGGGAAATTCTTGGCCGAAACCGATACCGAAAATAGGAAACAGTTGGCCGAATGCCGAAAGGCCTAAAATGATTAATAGAAATATATATATATATACATTATATATATAATGTATACATTTTTTATCAATGTTGTTCAGCTACCTGATTATGGAAAAAGACATGATTATGGCAAAACTTAACTTAACTTAAATAATAATCACTATTATGGGTCCATAAAACATTTATTCAGCACTTTTTAATGCATACAGTACATTAATTCCAAGTCAAGTGCATTTTCTTTTCTCTGTAGGATAACTACAACAAAGTGCATTCAGAACAAAGCCAAGGTGCTTTAAAACCGCATAAACATCTAGGCCAGTAGGCCTACAACCAAATAGAGTAAATAAAGACTGTAACAGCCTGGTCTTCAACAACAACAAATGCACCTATAAGTTAGATAACCTAACGTGTTGTTGTGATGACGTAATCAAAACGCGGCGACAAACACGGCGCGCGACCATGCTCGCGGCTGGCTCACAGCCAACATGTCTGCCGCTTGGAGATATTTCAAAATATCAGAGAAAGAGGCACGGATTGCGATTTGTAAAACGTGTTCAGCTATTTCTCGAGGGGGGGTAACTGCAAAGACTTTCACCACTTCGGGATTACTCCACCACTTGAAATCAAAACACCCGGACAAATATGCGGAGTATGATC